TCTAGTCCTCATGTAAATACTCTGATGTGGAGAGACGTGGGAAATAGAGTATGGATTTTGTTTGCCACATACTTTAGAACATGTGGCTATAATTTACTACATTAAGTTGTTCTTTGTTTCCATCCCTTATACTCCCTCTTCCAAACTTTCTGTCACAGCTAAATAAGATAAAGCAGCCGTGACTGTAGCCCCCAGGAGTTACCTTGGTTAGAAACATGCAAAAATTAGACATACTTTCTTTTCTATGGCACACTAATGCTGTATTTGTTAGAAAACAATTATTCATCTCAAAGTACTAGAGGAGGGAAGAGAAAAAAAAATATTTATTTAGAGCACCACACCCCATATTTGCAAATTTATATCTAATTCAGATATGTCAGCCAGCTGCTAATTCAGTTTCATAAAATTTACATTCTCTCCTGTCCTGAACAAATTAACCCTTGTGATGCTATCTATGCTCTATCACTATGTTGTGATGACGAAAACACTGAACACTGTAAGGGGAAAAATGTTAACATAATTTTAAATTGCTTTTTAGGACCAAATCTGTCATCTCTTATTAATGGCACAAGTGATAGGAATATTTTTTTATAGACCCAAGCCAACTGCTAACCCCATGCAAGGAAAATGTTCCCTTTAATAAAGACAAATATTTGTGTAACAAGGTCAGCAGGAAGAAGTTTCAGAGTTCACTCACAGCAGTCCTAGGCAAGTTATAAGGACTAGAGGGGAGAGATTTCTTGCCAACAGCAGTTCTTGTTTGCTGCCAAGCTGGCAAACACCCTATCTTCCTTGGGATCTCTTGGGTGTGGGAAACTGGCCATAGCAGGGTCACATCCAATCAAATGGCAGGCATAGCTTTTGTACAAGCTACGACTTGGAGCTGCTGGACATGCAGGAACCTTCCCCTCTTCCACAGGACAGAAATTCTTGGGGAGTCTTAAGTGGCTAATTTAATGATGCCCTTTAAGAAAAAGACCTTCTAGCTTGAGCATGTAAACCAAGTTTGGGAGTAGAGTTTTAGGTTCAGTTTATCTTATCTGCAGAAGAGTTTTCAAGTCTCCCAGATTCATGTGTTGCTAAGATCTCTTGCAGGGCAGATATTCGATGTCTTCTGAGCCTTCTGTTTGTAGTAAAAGAGGGATTACCAGACATTAGATTGTCCCAGAGCATCTTAGGAGGGGAAGACAGGATGAAAAGGTCCTATTTCTGCACTGAGAGATGTAAAAGAAGAAAAAAAGGCAGAATAGCTGACTTCTCCATGTTGGAGTTGAGGATATATGTGTGTGTGTATATATATAAATATATATATGTATGTGTTATATAAATATATATATATTTAATGTGTCTCTAGAAGTATTTGCATTAATGCACCAGAGAATGACAGGATCTATGTCTGCATAGGAAACTGAACTAATGGATTGTTAAATAATGGGCTTATCCCCTTGGTTAATGAAATACTATGTTTCATCTCTTGCCTCTCCAGTCCACAGCACTAAATGCTAATAGCACAGCTCTTTAGTGACACTGTCATTGAGGGGAAATAAACCACACTGGGAGACTTACTGAAAGTGTTGCAGTTTTCAGGCTACTCAGATGAGTGAGAAGGTCCTTTATTCTCTATTCTATGGGAGCCCAAGATATGGGATGAAAAAATATCTGGCACCTTAGGCACCTAACTTGGACTAAGTGTTAGATGAATTAGTGAAGCAGTCTTCCTGAAGTAGGAACTTAAGATCTGTATCTGGTCAACAGAGAGGAGAAGACCTCTGGAAGCAGAGCTTATCCACCTCTGAAGCAGGCAGATTAGTTTTTCCTGGAAGGGCAATTCAGAAACACTTTTCTCCACTAAGACACTTCCTTGCCTACTGATGCTCAGGCACCATTGCAGGGCCTAAGCTAGTTGGACAACATCCTGGACATACTTGTTACAAAACAAATGTCCAACTTAAGGAAGAAGTTTACTCTCCACTTCTCATAATTTGAGCAAATTTTGGTAATCAGCTTTGCTTTGTTCTTGTAAGTTGAGCAGGTAATGGTTCTTAAAATCATCAATGCTGGTGGAAATATGTTTCATTTTTTGTTTGTTTGTTATTTCTTTTTTTAATTTTCCAAGGGAATTATTGGAGGAAAAAAGTCTTTCTATTAGGATGTACTGTATAATTTTTGGATCCCACCTGTTGCTGTTAACAAGTTTCTATTAGTCAAGGTACTGTTTCCACAAACAAAGGCGTGAATATTTGTCTGTGCTGTTATGTAAACAGAAGAATTAATGCCTATTCTGATTTTAACAGAGGGTGGGACAAAAGAAAACAAACATCATAAGATTCACAAAAGATATTTTTAGAATCGTAATGTGTTGTTTGACGATATGAACAAATGAACTAACTCTTCAAACAGATAGAGTGATAGCTTTTATTAAAAGCTACATAACCCCATCCCCCAATATAAACAAGCTGTGGGTGTTTAATTTTCTTTTTCTGTGAGTAGTGAGGAAGCTGAGGCACTGAGAAATTAGTGACGAAAGAATTGTCTGCAGTCACACAGGCTAGTGGAACAACATTAAAAAAAGGTCTGCTAATCTTAATACTGGCTGTTAAAGCCTTATCCTCACTTTAATGAAGTGAGCAACATTTCCGAGAGGTATCTTGTGAGAAATTTATGCCATTTCATCACAAAAAACCATTAAAATAAGGAAAGAATATAATTATGCTAAGGCCAGAGGAGTCAGTATGGTTATGCCTTCTTATTACATTGCCCTGGAGAATTGTCTGCCTAGAATAGTCTATAATGAGTATCTGGTCAATTTATTATGTAGATTTTTTAAATTAATTTTTGTAATTTTTTTAATACGAACAATTGAGGGAAGAACAATAATTTCTATTTACCTAGACAGTTGAAATTTACGAGACAAATATGGCATCAGAACAAATTATAAATGAATTCAGATTTTGAAAAATTTCATATTGACTTATTCAAAGTTTTGTTCCACCTCTCCTTTATCCTTGAAGACCCCACGACAGAATCAAAAAACATACAGCTCAGAGTCTTATTATATCATCTGTTCATCTGTCTTTTTGATTTTAGAAAATGCAAGTTTGTCACTATCCACTTTGACACAGGTTTCTGACTTAATCCATAAAATTATTAAGTGGATGCGATTTCTCCATGCTCAGTCTAATCTACTTTACCAAAAAAGAAAAAAGAAAAAAGATCCTCACCCCCCCCCCTAAAACCCCAAAATGCCAGGCTATTAACAGTAAAAAACAACTACTAAAACAGTTGAAGGGGTATCTTACATTTTAAAGCAATATTTGCTTAAATAAGGATTAAATTAGGTTTAGGCTGCACCAGTATTAAATGGTCACTGTGGAGGTTGATAGAAGAATAATGTTGATCATTTTATATATAACAGAGATTAAGCAGACAAACTATAGAAGCAGGTATAGCTGAAGGGCCATACAAGAGATCTTTATAAAAACATTGTCACCTCTGGAACAGTTATTTGCTCCTTCCTTACAACCATAAAAACTAGACAGGATCGAATGAGATTATCAGAGAGTTGTTTAAAACAAGTAAAAGGGAGTCATATTTCACAAAGTGCACAATTATGTTGTTGAATTCATTGCTATGGGAAATGATGCTAGAAGTTCAGATGAGTTCAGGAAGTCATATCAAAAAATAGTCACAGTTATTAATCCATCAAGGGCTATGAAGCACATAGATAAAACCTTTGGGTGAGGAGAATCCTAAGCTGCAGATTGCTATAAATTGTGAGAAGTATTGCTGGGGGAAAAACTAGGATGTGGATGCCTATTTATCCTTTCCTTGTAGTGTCTGCCAAGGGCACATTCAGAGCTAGGATACAGAGCTAAGTGAACCTTTAGTATGTAACATGACAGTGTTCTTACTTTATGTCCTTGAAAGAAAAGAAAAGAAAAACCAACTCCTTTCTACTTCCACTTAAGACACTTTCCCTCCTTTTTGGTGTGTCTGTGTGGCATCATGACCACTCACTCATCCCTCTTCCAAATGCTGTCCGCCTTCATGTGGCATCGGCAGGTCCACCCTGGTACTGATTCTGCCTCTAGGATGTGGCAAGGCAGAATCATGGAAAAAGCTGCTCTTTCTGATGTTTGGTGCATTCATGCTGGTATGTATTTCTAGATATATCGGGGACAAACAGCATCCAACTTTAGACTGAGGCCAAATGGCTGATTCAAGTGAAATTAATGCAGGTGCATGCAGGAGTGGTCACTCCAAAAGATCATGCTATCCATGCAATTGGACTCAGAGGCTCTGAACAGTAAGACATGTCAATTACTTTATGTTTCAACACTGTTTGTGTTCATTAAAATAGGAAGCAATGCATTGCTGTCTCTCAAGATGATGAGAATTTAAAGCTATTACTGAAAGTGATTTAAATTCTTTAACTTTCCAAGCCAACTATTTGTTTAGGGAGAAACAAGCAGCCTCAGTTCTTTAGCCTTTTTTTTCCACCAAAATTATGCCTTCCCAGGTAAAATATTATGTGGAATATAATGCTTATGATCTCAGATTTGCAGCATGTATCTTACTTAGCAACTAAGTAACAAAACAGGTGACCACATATTCACGTTTATGACCATTATGACTCTATCCTGAATGCAGGGAACAGCAACGAAAAAAATAAGACAGGAAAAATATTTTGAATGCAAAATATAAAGCATTCAATATCAAGTTTCCCACCCACGTATATTGGTTTTATGAAAGAGATTTTCTCATTTAGCTATGATTTGAATAGGGTAAAGATAACTCAAATTTACATTTTCTATTCCTCCTCACAACATGCCCAATTCAACCGGGGAATGTTTAGTCTTTTTTTTTTTTTTTTTTTTTTGGAACGGTCTCTCTTGGGAAGAATGCTCACCCAGATGTTTGCATTTCAGAGGGAGCTGGCCCTTTCCATTTTTGTTGTGTACCTGCGTCGAGTATGGAACCAAACAGACTACATGACCTACCATGAGCAGCTGCAGCAACAGCACCAACAAAAGCAACATGTGTTGTTGGGCCTTTGGTTTCCGGGTGCTTGAGATACAGCTGATGTTCCTTCGTTTTGTGACTGCTGCCTCTTTCTCATTGCAGCTACTTCAGTGCCCAAGCGGCTCTAAGAACACAGACATAAGAGATGCACAGAATTACTCCAGACAGTCGTAAAGTACATTCACATTTCTACAGTAATCTCTAATGCTACTGATTCTTCCAGCTTGTGGCAACAAAAGCACATGACCAGCGACTGTGCTGCCTAAATAAGTGTTCCATTGTGATCAAAACAGTTTCTGGAAGACCACATTTTAGTGATGAGCTTATGCCCCAGTGCCTTAGAATCACAGTTATTCTCATCACTTTAACTGGACTGAAAGAAGTGTTTATTACCCTTCTGAACTACACAGCTTGTGTAGCACTTGGTAGAAGCTGAACTATTAATTACCATGTGACTATCACAGCTTTTTAATTGCACTAAAAATATCACAAGTTTTTCACTTCAAATATGTGCTGGAAAGTAATCTTTTTGCTCTAATTCAGTAGTGACTTCACTGGTCAATGTTGGATCAATGAAATTAAAATAAGTGATATAACAGTGAGGACCAATAATTTCTGTATGCTAATAACGAGAGCTTATCATAAATGTCATAAGTAGCATAAATCATGTGTCAATAAATAATTCTGAATTCCAACTTTGGGGCTATCTTCTGGCCATGGAAAATTTTGTTTTACTCATTGCCAGTCTTTTCTAGGCTTTATTAGGCCAAGCAATTTTTTTTTTCTAAAAACTTAAAATATGCAGCTGAGAGTCATATTCTATGCATTACTTTAGGTTTCCAAAAGAAGTTAAAACACTCATGGCTAAGTTATTTAGGAAGGTTTAGAAGTCAGGATTCTTTTAATGGTGCACATCTCATTTGACCAAAAACTTTCAGCTTCCCAGAGTAATGGTTATTACAAGCATATGTAAATTAGAATAAATTTAGTACTTTTGCATTGGAAAAAAATGTCTAAATAGCTTATTATGGAAAGCAGCCCAGTTTTAAGCAGAACTGGGTAGAAAACGTCCTGCTGTGAGCCGCGTGCACTCTGCTTTGCACCCTTCTGGGCATTGTGCTGCAGCCAGGAGTACTGGGGAAAGGCTCGTTCTGCTGTGGTGCAGTTGCAACCCAGATAAATGCACAGATGCTTGGGAGACAGATGTGCTCAGCTGATATGCACCCAGGCTGCAACTGTGAAAGTCTGGATTTGCACAACCTTTGAAACTCCTGAACCTCTTTTCCTGCAACAGTATCTTTATATGTGGCTTACACGCAACCACATAACATACAATAAGCTTCAGGACTCATGCTGCACATCTCAGGGTCAGTGGTCAGTGCAGCTTCTTGTCTGCAAGCAGACTTGTCTGTTTTTTCCTATGTACACAGTCACTGAACAGAATCCATCATTTTTTGAAGTGTTTGCTCAGACTAAACACTGAACAGCCATTTTACTCTAGTTTTTAAGTGAAATCATCTGGATTTATGTGGAATCAAACCCTACCACTTCTACAACTCATATTCAGGAGTTAGCTTTCAGAAGTTAACTACAAATTATGAGGGCACCTACTAATCTTGCTGGTATAATTTTTTATGATTTGTACTTGCTGAACTCTGAAAGATCAAAAAGATTCTTTTTAATTAAAAATCTTAATTTTTCTGTGAAGTTTAAACACATTGTTAACACTGGATGCTTTGACATAATTGAATGCATGCCCTTATTTCTGCAAGAGATAGGAAGGAAAGGAAAAACACTGCAGCACAATAAGTAGCTCAAAGTTGACAGTGTTCACTTTCTATGAATTACAGCCCTGAATTTTGCTAACTATGCTTGATGCAGTTAATTTTTTTCATAGATATCTGTGTCATGCTGTGAATGGGACTTGCTTTAGCAAGAGAAGTGACAATGGGCAAAGGAACTGAAGCTAGTTATCATCACAGGGAAGACTGCTACTTATAACACAGAGAATCTAGAAAGATTTGTACATTACCACATAATTTAATAGTCTCAGAAACCACAGATGTTACCTATATGTCTTTGTGGAACCATAATCCTAGTCTTTCAGGATACTGTCAATTGAATTTTACAGAGTGAAAACAACGCGTTCACCAATGTACCTGAAACCATGGATTTCATAAGGCATTTTAGCTACATTTATAAAACATACTATTACCATTATTAAAAAAATGACTAGAATCTGTTCTACTGTAAAAGCAAGTGGCAGGATAATGGCCATACATATAGATATAATGAAAACCACTGATGACTTTCTTGTAGTCTCACATTAACTTTAAGACAGTATGAACTGTCACTGGACCTGAAGGACATAATTCTTTCTTGCTTTCTTCCTCCACAGTCCACAGTCACTCATTCCCTCGCCTGCACTGCCCTGTCTCTGCTACCATCTGTGCACATATTTGGTAAATTGGATAAGAGAACTGACATCACTTAAAACTAATGCAGAGAATCAAAAAAACAAAAAAGATTTTAACTGGGCTGACGTGCTAGCCTGCTTCTCCTGGAACACTATGGCCAGAGCGAGGGAAGAAGCAGGACAGTGGCACAAATATACAAGGAGATCAAGAGAGATTAGGGATAACGTTTTTCAGTTGCTGCCTCAGTCGCTGCCCATCCCTTTACTGACAATGCACTTGCTAGAGGAGGAAAAAAAAAGAGCAGTTGCAGTTGTAGTTATATTTATTTAGGCTATATCTGATGGAGAGAGAAAAAAAAAAAAGGCTGTGTACTTATTTCCAGGGATATTTTGCATCCTAGTCCTAATGCTAATTTTGGCTAATTGAGATATTAGAATAGCACTCTAGGTGCTTATGCTTTGAACTGAGCTGGTATTATGCATAGATTGTACATGCTTGGAAGTGGAACTATATCTTCCCAAAATAGTGCACAAAGATCTTATTGGCACAGTGGGACAGAGTTCTATACAATCTCTATAGATTATATAAGTTCTATATATTCGTCGTTTACAGCTGAAGCTGGTGTTCAGTCTGAATCTAGCAGTCGCTGACAATGCAAGCTTTTCTCTAGTTTGGCATGACTGGTAACCTACTCAAAAAAAGTGCAAGGCTGAAAATCTAGCAAATGAGATCGTGTTTTCGGTAATGCATGAGCAATGTTTACTCATCTGCTTGTTCACAACTGCTGGCTGAAGTCAAAGTTCTCAGCCCTTTTTTTTTGCTAACACTCAGTTTGACTGGAGAGCTTTTAAGACGGCGAAATATGTTTCCTGAGGATGAGGGAGGGTGGGTAGATGGGTGGTAACTTCAGTTCCATGCTCACTTTTGCTGGATTTCACATTTCATGTTGCATTTGCAGTTATTGGACATTGTCTGTGCAAAATTCTCATTGTTTCTGTGAGATTATTTAGGTTGCAAGAGCAGCATTATATTAACTTTTGGTTGTATTTAGGGTCTGAACTGTAGGCCGAGGATTTGTATTTGGAGTCTTGATCCAGGGTATGACGGAAAAAATCTTCAAGCAAGTCATCATGATAAGTTGCTTTGTTGGAACTAAGTGTAAAAGTTTGTACATAAACAATGGAGTAGAATATTGTGAACTAACATTGACAGTTGTACAAACCGCACGTACTATTGCCAAGTTCTGAGTTTGCCCTTTAGTATTTTGCACATTTTCATTCTTCCTGGGATCCTTTAGGTTGGCATTAATATTGAGTGGTGAAGGAGTGAGTCTCTGTCCAACAGAAGTAATATCCTTGGTAGCCCAGATGATGTCTCCGGCACTCATACCCCAGTTTAAGGTCCTTTTGCATGTGGTTCTTTCCCTTCATCTGGTGGCACAGTTTGTTAACAATGTTATGATTTCCATTTGTGCTAGTAGGAAATAATAATATTCTATTTTGCTTGATTGACTCATTCTCTTGGGGGTGGGTAGGTATTATGTCCCTGTGAGCAATCCTGTAATCATGCAAGGATTTTATCTTGCAGAACATCTGCTGTCTCATTCTGCAGCTAAGGAAAGGAAACCCAGGGCAGATATAGCAATTGTTTATTATACTTGCTAAGAAACAAGGAGTTCATATAAGCTGCAAAGCAAGAAAGCGAGAAAGTCTATACTGCTCTGTGTGTATTTTCAATCTTGTAATACTATAGGAATATGAAAACTGAAAAGTCCTTAGAAATGTGAAGCAAGGCTTACTATCAGTTGTGGAACTTATAAAGGATTTTATTTCTATGTTTAGCCAGTGTAATTACCATTTACTCCACTGGGTACTGAGGAGTAATTATAAGAGAAATCCCCTTGTGCACAGAGGATTATCTTGGAGAGAGTAGGCAGGAATGACTGATGGAAGCAACATTTGGTTTATTTCAATTATATTTGGGCAACCCTACTGAATACTGACTACAGCCATCTCAAAATATACACAATGCCTCTAGAAGAAAATAAGGTAATTTCTAGGCTATTACACATCCCTGTTCCTCTGCACCCAACAGGACTTAGGCTACCATTATATGAACTTTACTCCAGAACTTCCCAGGCTGGTGGAGATGGCACAAAACACACTTCAGTGCACCTTCTGATACATATCCTCTAATGAAGCAAGATCTTTATTTATTTTTCTTTTTTTTTCCTGGACTCAAAGATCTGACATAACTCACCTACAAATTAGCTGGACTTTTGGTCCAGTTCCTTGCTAGTTCTGGAACTTCGCCTTCTCCAGGACTCTGATGTAAGAGTACCACACAGCTCCCTCAGCTGCCCCCCAAAAGCTGCTCCAGCCCCTTCACCAGCTTCGTTGCCCTTCTCTGGACACGCTCCAGCACCTCCAAATCCTTCTTGTAGTGAGGGTCCCAAAACTGAACACAGTATTTGAGGGGTAGCCTCAGTGACGTTCATACTAGTCTATCTATCCAAGAGAAACCTTCACGTGTGTACATTCTCTATTATGACACTGAGTCATGACAGCCAATCAATATTTCACAAATAATTTCCTGTAAAAAATAGAGAAGAGTGAGCCTAGCATAAGTATAATTGGGTGAGCCACCTTTGCTCTCCTAATGGCTCCATTTCCTTTTTTTTGAACTAACCATATTCTTTTGCAGAACA